TCCAAGAATGGCATGTGACGTTGCGAAAACTGCGCCCACTTCACATGCGGGATTCTCTGGAAGAAAGGACTCACGCAGACGTCCTGCGCTTCGTCCATCACACCGTTGGTGAGCAGAGTAGGAGTTGTGATTGTGTGGATCTGATCTAGACACGACCACGACTTCAGCGTTCCCGTAATCGTGAACTCTGACGGTCCAGCCCTGGAATCCATGATCAGTACATATCAGAAAGGTACGTCAAGATATCACCTACATCGTATGATACACGGTGGGATGTTGCATCATGGCCGCAAAGGACGTCTCCATCACCTTTGGCCAGGGGCTCTTGCAAACGTGCTTCTCAAAGAAGATTCCTACCATTTGTTGATATTCAGGACTATCCGTTGTCCCCTCTTTTTCGTGCCTCTCAATCGTCTCCCTCACATCTGCTGGCAGCGCTTTCAGCAGCTGACTGGTGCTCTGTACCCACAGTGCCATGGACGGCGCTCCGCTGGTGATGACGAGGTGTTTGAGACCCACAGGATGTCTGTGGCTGGCGTAGTGGGCCCCTAGCATTCCTCCCCAGGAGTGACCTAGAAGAGCGAAGCCATTCTGGACACCAAGGTGGGTAACAAGGTTGTCCAGCTCATCCATGAAGAGATCGACAGTCCAAAACTCTTTTGGCTTGTCTGGAACACCTTCAAAAAAGGATTTTCCGATGCCGATCTGGTCGTAAAAGACGACAGGGATGTTACATTTGTTGTGAATTTCGGCGAGAGGTGTCATATAATCATGCGAGACGCCGGGGCCGCCGTGCAGCACGATGAGAGGGTGGGCACCCGAAGTAAGATCGCCGACGATTTTGTACCAAGTCTGGTACGTGTCGTCTCCGACTTTGAAATCTACTTTTCCTGTAACTTCAGTCATTAAAGTTGGACGTATGGGGCTTGTTTCGAGAGCGAGCTAACGACGAGCAGGACGAAACCCTTTATGTATACATGAAGGATGTCTCAACGTTCGAACAGGACTATTTCGGTTATTTGTCTATCGCCCGAAATGAAACAGCGGTGTTTGGGAAGCTGATCATCATATCGGTCGTGCTAGCGCTGCGCATGATTCTTCGAGGAAGCAATATTTGATGGCCATGCACCGTGATGTGAGCGCGGAGTTACAATATATATGTAGCATATGGTCTTGCTAGCCAATCAAATCGTCCATCTTTCCGCGGCGATTTGAGCAGTTCCCGCCACCTTCTTTTCTCAATAATTAGGTTTGGACCTTGTCTCCATGATGATTCCATCGATTGCACTGATGCACCACTCCGAGCAAGGAATACTTCGACCGAAATAGTCAGCGATAAGTTCGCAAGTTGGATTGGAATCAGTCAACAATATCTGCGTGATCCGGGCTGATCAGGCGGAGCCCAAGAGGTGGATTGGGACGTCATATAATTGTACTCGCTGGAGCCTCGAACGGTCGACCATATCTGACTGTACGAATTGTTCTGTCAACACATATTTTTTATGAACGAAGTTACATTCTATATCTGAATAGAGAGACGTGCTGCGGTCCGATAGCCATAGATCATGGTGATTGGTCTAGTTCAGCTGCTCACCGGCACCTGTCATGTTGACTCGTGAGAAAGACACAACCTTACCGACAGTGATACGCCTCACATCATTCGCACACCTGGGGATGCGATCGGGACACCGGGGTCCTTGGACTACTAGTACAATATTAATGTATTGTGCTAATATTTCTCTGCAGCAAAGGACAAAAAAAACCTTACCTTATGGCACATCTTTCAGGATGACGGAGATAGCAGTAGATTAGGGCGCCACAAAGCTTGGTTGCCACACATGTTGGCCCATGTGGTGAGGTGGAAAAGCAGTTCGTTACATTTCAATTTGATTTCTGTTATCTGTCGGTGATTTCCTAGGTATCCAACATTATGGCCCTGGGCGTTACAGTCGCTGCGATCAGTATCAGCATCAGCATCAGAATCATCATGTGGCAACTCCACCATGGAGCCCACAGGAGCGACTGTCCGACTCAGTACTAGTTCCTTCTGACTGCAAGCTAAATATCAACACTTCAAAACAAAATTTGCTGCGGTATATAAATATAGAAATTGTCCGCGCAATCACGTGCTGATTGCGAAAGGAACAAGTTTGACTGTGATGGGTCCGCCGGACAATTGTGCAACCAGTCCATATGCGAGATCCGTGAGGATCTCTAACTTGACTGGGGTAAAGTATTTTAGGGCTATAGCAAACTAGTTGGCAGTGCTAATCATATATCAGCAGGATCATACCTGGGCTTAATAATAATCAAGAACTTGCGTTACCACTAGTACCTTCAGGTGATCAGTATCCATGATGTCTCGCGTAGAACTGGCAGTTGGTTGGATGTTCGGAATGCTTACTATACTTGCCACCATGTGGCATGCTAACATCAGAATGCAACCGGCAGAACATCGCGAGTACCTCCCATACGCGTTGAAGCAAAAAGATGATAGACTGACCTCCACACTTTAGAATCTATAGAATACACTTACGCTGGTGACGATTACCCATGGGAATTTCCTGTCGATCTCGCCCATGAAGCCGTCGCGATGACTCTTCACGAGAGTGTGCATTTTGCTCTAAACGCATCTGACACAGAATCTCAACTGGAGTGGGAGACCCTCCCAAGTTGGCCAAAAATAGCTGGTCTCACCCATCTAGGACCAGAGCAGCGACCTTTCATGCTGGTCTTCGGTCATCAGCTTCATTGTTTATGGATGCTGCAGGAAGCTCTCCTCGACTACGGCCGTGACGAACCCCTGACCGATTATCATCACGCACATCACCATCACTGTCTCAATTATTTTAGGCAGACTCTTATGTGTGATTCTGCACATACGTTGGAAATGGGTGACTTTATGAAAGTTGATTACGAGAAGGATAGAATGGGGGACACATTAGTGTGCAGGGACTGGAGTAAGGTCATTTCTGTATCTGAAGAGTACCACGAGAAGTGGTTGCAGTGGAGGACGCATTGGGACTGAACTGACACACTACTTCGTACGCTTCAACCTGTTCACTGAATGTATCCGCAGAACTTAGTACTGTCTTATATTACGGAGTTGCATAACCTAAGTTGTCTCAAGGGAAAAGCCCTGCCTGCAAATTACTTATGCGTCTTCCCAATGTTAACTTTTTGGTAGAACAATTCTTCTTTGGGCTAATGCTTCGCTGTACCCGTGGAAGGAGGAAATCGGACAATCTGGTTATTCCATTCCCATGCACTCAATCTTACTTATATTTTACAGGATTAACTATTCAAGAATATGTCAGAAAATCGGCCACCACTTGAAGGTACCTCACCTGGTTCTCCTCCTCCAAAAATGGCATATGACGCTGCGAAAACTGCACCCAATTCACATGCGGGATTTTCTGGAAGAAAGGACTCACGCAGACGTCCTGCGCTTCATCCATCACACCGTTGGTGAGCAGAGTAGGAGTCGTGATTGTGTGAATCTAATCCAGACACGACCATGACTTCAGGTAATCGTGAACTCTGACGGTCCATTCCTGAAATCCATGATCAGTACATATCAGAAAGGTACGTCAAGATAGTATCACCTACATCGTATGATACACGGTGGGATGTTGCATCATGGCCATAAAGGACGTCTCCATCTGAGTCACCTTTGGCCAGGGGCTCTTGCAAACGTGCTTTTCAAAGACGATCCTCACCATTTGTTGATATTCAGGACTATCCGTTGTCCCCTCTTTTTCGTGCCTCTCAATTGTCTCCCTCATATCCGCTGGCAGCACTTTCAGCAACTCATCAGTAAAAAGTCAAGTTTGTCGTAGCCCTGGTGATGGCTATATAGAGCTATATAGCCACCATAGCGCTATATACTAGTAGCTGCAAGCTCCACATACTCCTACATTAGTCATGAACCCAAACAGTGTGCTACATGCGATGGTGGCACTTCTTTTGGCATTTGACTATGTTTATTCCTGCGGTACTCGTGTAGTGGTCTGTAGCACTGTAGCCATTTGCTACAAGATGCTACTGTAGTGCTAGCGCTACAGTTACTACTATGCCGACTATATGGCACCCTGTAAACGAGAGCATTTTTACTGATGCTGACGGGTGTTCTGTTCCCACAGTGCCATGGGCGGTGCTCCGCTGGTGACGACGAGGGTTTGAAACCCACAGGATATCTGTGGCTGGCGTAGTGCGCCACTAGCATCGCTCCCCAGGAGTGACCCAGAAGAGCGAAGCCATTCTGGACACCAACTTGAGGATGGGCAACAAGGTTTTCTAGCTCATCCACGAAGAGATCAACGGTCCAAAACTCTTTTGGCTTGTCCGCCACACCTTCAAAATGGACTTGCTGATGCCGATCTGGTCGTAAAAGACGAAATGTTACATTTGTTGTGAATTTCGGCGAGAGGTGTCATATACTCGCGCGAAACGCCAGGGCCACCGTGCAGCACGATGAGAGGATGGGCACCGGAAGCGAGATCGCCGCCCATTTTGTACCAAGTTTGGTATGTGTGTCTCCGAATCTACTTTGCCTGTAACTTCAGCCATTCGAAGATCAACATATGGGGCACGTCGGAGGTGTCGGTGAACTGTTGACCAAATGAGACTTGACATGCTGTTATCGATGCTGTGCTATGAGGTAAGTTCCTCCCAAAATTCTAGTCTATTCTGATATTCATCCGGATATCAAGCTTACTTACGGATGCGCGTTCTGAGCTCAGCTGGGAGCGTTTCCTGAAGAGGAAATGCTCGGTCAATTGAAAGTTTCCGATTTTGCAATTGTAGCGGATTGATCCAGTTGCAACGGATACGTTATGGTATTATTTAACGAGGTGCTCACATCATAGCTGCGACTCGCTCCCACTCTCCCCAGATATCTCCTTACTCCTCCGGAAGCCTGAGGATCCTTCAGGTTATTCTGTTCGCCATCTGATCTATCATGTCACTCAACTCTAGTTGGACACCGGACGAATCGTCTGAAACCCTTCTCGAAGAGAAAGGCTGGTTGCAAGGGGCAGTGGTCAGCTCCATTGCATATGGCATTGGTGTTACACTGTTCTTTATGTGCTTCCACCTCCTGATCCGGCAAATGACCCGCACGAACTACAAAAAGAGCCTGCCTCTACTCATATACATCACCATAGATTTTATCCTCGGCACCTTGTTTATGGCATCACTGGCTGATTTCACACAACTCGCATTCATTCAATATCGCGATTATCCAGGCGGTCCGAACGCATTTGAGAATAACATGTTCGGCATTCCTGTGGATAATCTTGGAAACGTCTGTGGTTTTCTGATGATGGCTCTTTCAGATGGATTGGTCGTGAGTAGAGGTATTTGATGTTGAAAATATTATCGCTAATATATCTGTTCAGGTTTGGCGCTGCATGGTAATTTACAGAGGGTGTGTGGTGCCAGTATGGATCATCATGTTGTTCCCTTGTCTGATGTTCGCTGCATCCATCGGTCAGTTGCTTACTTTCAATGTCTGTTTGATTGTATCGGACGCTCACCATCGCATCCATTAGTTATGGGTATAATGTGGCTGCTTCAATTAACCAGCAATTCCCCATTTTTCACCTCGACTAACATCAACTACACCGTTCCATATCTCAGCCTTTCACTCGCACTAAACATCATCATCACGATCGTTATCGTACTTCGTCTACTCACATATCGTCATCGAATTACCAAAGCTCTTGGCTCTAGGTTCGGCGCTCAGTACACGTCGATTGCTGCGATGATAGTCGAATCTGCCGCTCTTTACTCCGCGTTTTCGCTGGCACTTCTAATACTCTTCCTTCTAAACAATCCCATCTCTGAAACATTTATTGAATCGCTACCTCAGATTCAGGTCAGCACTGGCAATTAGAGATGCATTCGCGCTGCTTATAACATGCCACAGATGATTGCAATGTTGCTAATAGTTTTCCGGGTCGCGCAGGGAAAGGGTTGGTCTCAGGACACCATGTCCAGGGTCATGACCTCGAAGCCATCAGCGCAAGCAATCCGTATGGGTGATTTCGGGTACAGTTTGCGGGATGGCTCCAAAACGTTCACTGGTTCCTCTGGCATTGAAGCGCATGCGACCTACAAGGGTAATGACCACGATTCAGCGGAAGCAGTTCAAGTGTGAGCAAGGTTGCTTGGATACCTACTGAGATAACAGTTGTAGAATGCTATGGGTCAGAGTATATGTAAAACAAATAGTTATTTAGTATACTTTGACGATGGACCAGCCTCAGGATTAAAAATATTCTTTTGTGCTCCACAATTATGTTAAAAATAATGAAACCTTGCATTGGCGTAGTTGTTCAATGGAAAGACATGAATATTAACCAGTGTATGTAGAAGATAGTGTATTAGTGTCCTGCCTGGTAAGGGCATGGGTACACATCAGTAAATTCACACATTTCTTGGCAGACCTTTTTTCGAAAATTAAAACTTATTTTTAACTTATTGACACTTATTCACCTTTATTCACTTGGCTGTTTGTTTTCACAAGTCAAAAAAGGAAGCGCATGACACACAAGTGCCGAAAAGTAGCATAAGATCAAAAAAGTCAGTTCAAGTATCCGAAACAGAAATAAGTACAGCAAGTAAATAAGTAGTTCAACTTGGTATGTAACCCGCGGCAGGTAGTAACTCGTGACCCATGTATTCATGTACTTGTTACAAGTAACATCGGTCACGTGGCCCCCCTATCATTTTCCCCTCATCCTTGCCCTCACCATCTACCGGCTCATCCTCCTTTACCGACTTTCCATTGACCGGATCCTCGGGACCGTTCCCGTCCCTCGCATCATCCGCCTCTATGCACGTGCACGCACGTTCCTCTCTTGATTCGACCACCAATGTGGTCCCGCACCTCTGACTCGGTCTGACTCGTGCCACCAATGTGGCTTTCCTCTTTCTGTTTCCCCTGACTGCGGATTCCCGCACGTTGTATTCTTACCGTTGGTCCGTTCCAACGTTTCTCGGTCTCATTCCACATTCGACCATCCACCACTAATCCGGCTCTGATGCCAGCGCACCTATACCATTCTCGCTTCCCCTTTACCCTTACCTACTGTGCGGTAGCCTTGCCCTTAACCCTCTCCACTTAGTATAAGTAGTCGGTCACATTGTACTAGATTCTCTAACTTGAATCTACTCAATCTTCCCTGGAACATACTTCTCTCTGAAGCCCCCTCAGCTTCAGTCTCTAGTATCTTTTCTTAGTCGCTCATCGCGACTAAGTCTACTTCGATCGACCTCATCGTACGGACAAGACTGTCCTTACCTTGAGTGACTTCTTAGACATCCGTCTACCAAGTCACGTGACATGCGCGTACTGTGATCGCTGCCGACTCGTCGTCGCCAGTCTCACTTGCCATACTGGATCCTTCCGGTTACCTCACCAACGTTAGCGGACGACGCCCCTCTTAGGGCTCCGCCTAACAGATCTATTTGAGTGCGTAACAGTACTAGACATATGGGTGTAGATACAATGTATATCAGTAGTAGCAACACAATAACGAGATCGACAGACTCACGAACTGTGAACAGCGGGAAATGACTTGGATCAGCGTGGCTTGAGCTCGAAGGGGGATCGACAGACTCATGAACTGCGAACAGCAGGAAACGACTTGGATCAGCATGGGTCTTGCTCGAAGGGGGATCGACAGACTCACGAACTGCGAACAGCAGGAAACGACTTAGATCAGCATGGGTCTTGCTCAAACGAGGATTGACACACTCACTTCCTGCGAGCGGTGGCAACGACTTGGATCAGCGTGGCTTGAACTCGAACAAGGAGGGTGCTGGAGGGCGCAGTTGGGCATGGTTGGATTGGGAGGATGCGAGAGATGTGCTGGGGGGTGTGTGGAGGGCTGCAGTTAGCAAAAATTGAAAGAACAATTGATAGATGCACGTACAGTACCCAAACCCAAACTATACAAACCGATTCCTTCAATCTGCATGAAGCTAAAGTCAGTATGACAAAGATGGGCGCATGCAGTTTCAGGATTTGTCAAAAATGAGCGCTGTGAACCATCACGCGTCATGTGTCATATTTGAACCACGTCAGTTTTTCACACAAAGTTGACTCTCAACGTTAACGTTCAACCTTGTCTGACTCTCAATCTAACTTCCATGCATCATCTCACATACCTCCATACCTCAGTGTCTGAAACTTCACTCTCATGGTCTCGCACCCTTTCGCACACCTCCCAGTAAGTTTTTTTATTTGTTTTTTTTTCCATTTTACTAAAAATGTCTGTGTCTGAAACTTCGCCCGTCCTTTCGCATGGCCTCCAAGTAAGTTTTTATTTATTTGTTGTATTTTCTTTTACTAATAATGTCTGCTTGCCTCAGCATCTGAAACTTCGCCCGTCCTTTCATGTACCTCCAAGTAAGTTTTTTTTCATTTTTTTAAATTTCCCTTGACTAATAATGTCCGCTTGCCTCAGTGTCCAAACTTCGCCTGTCCTTTCGCATACCTCCAAGTAAGTTTTTTTCATTTGTTTTACTTCCTTTTACTAATAGCGTCTGCTTCATTGCAGTCTGCCGCTTGCCTCATGTGCCGTCTGCCTTGTATGCTGCCTTTCATTCCTCGCATCCCGCCTTTCACCCTCTTCAAAATTTGCTGCTGCTGGCTCCCCATTCTTTGAGTTCGTTTCTGCATCTAGTTGCCACTGCCACAAGTAGTTGTATTGTTTCCCCACTAGTACTTAGTAGTCCTATCATGTAATTATCCTTGAATGCAATATTTTGTCATTTTTGTCGAAACAAGTGTGAAATAAGTAGACAATAAGTGAAATAAGTAGCCCCAACTTGCACTACTTGCAATGTGGGCTATTTTACAAATAAGTGCCAAAAAAGCCAACAAAAAGTTTGAAAAAAGTTGAAGTCAAGAGGAGGCATCTACTTTTTCGACTTAAATTGCCTTGTGGCAAGTTGATGGCAAGTTGGTGTCACCGTTCTTATGAATGACTTTTCCACTCCTTTTTTGGAATTACCCGGTGGCAAGTTGCAAAAAAGGAAGTTCAAGCAATGTGTGAATTTACTGATGCAGGTAAGGGCCAGTGTCCGAATCATCATGCAGGTGACACATTGGGGTTGTCAATATTTAGGACAGGTTTACAGCCTCATTGTATGAAATATTTGGAGTTTAAACTGATGTAAAGAGGGACATGTAGCTTCAAATTTAGTCATCATTGTGTACAAAATCCAAACCAGCTGGATACTGCTGAGACACAGTGAACTGCTCTCGAGATACTCCATGATACTCAAACAACTGCTGAACATCAGGAAATCTGCCATTTCCATGATGAGCTGAGAGATCTGAAGGAAATGATAAGCTGATGGACTATGTATGCAATATACTGTACATCTGAGGTCAGACCAAACAGAATGTACAGGCGAGACAGATGCTCAACCTGGCAGAATATCAACACCTGCAGAGTGATCATATGATCATTGAATCCAAAATACATCATTTCAGACA